GCCTCGTTCGCTGTCGAGCACAGCGCTGTGCCGATTGCGTGCGCACGTTTTCGCCGAGGCTTTCTTTTGCTTCGCACCCGTTGCGGGGTTTTCGAGCCTGGTGAGGGTAGTTTTTTTCTTCTTCTTTTCTCTCCTTTTACTTTTCCCCCCTCGTTCGTTTGCCGCCTTCCCCTCCTCCCACGCTTCCCGTTCCAGGGCATCTTCTCGTCTGCTGTTGGTGTGTCCCACCGTCGGCTTTGTTGTTGTCCTGTTTGCTGCGCAAGGGGCATATTTGAATCGTTGCGCGTCCGGCGCCTCTCGTTCCTTCTCTGCCTCCTCGCTCCTTTGCGTTGTTGAGTTTTGTTGTCTCTTCCCTCCTCCTGCTCTCCTGCCTCCTCGTCCTCTCTTCCCTCCCCTTCCCTCCCCGCCTTGTATCTTTTTGTTTCGTCTTTCCCTTTCTCCTCTTCGCCTCTCCTCGCCTGCTGCGGCAGCTGCCGCAGGAGCGAGAATGGTGTCCTGACTGACGCTTCTCTCTTTTGAACGCATGGTCACCAAAATTGCGAGCCGCGTGCCAGCGATCTCATGATCTGCGCATTACATGTACTCAAAACTTATTCTGTTGTTTCTGCCGCCTGATCTCTCAAAGAAACTGCATTCAAACACTCCTCTGTTTACCATGGGTGGCTAAAATACACAGAAATTTGGAAACAACCTTTCTGCAGCGGGCGAAAATCGGCACCTGCATCTCACGAATTAGACTCTAATTGAAAAAAACGCGGGACACTGCCCTTAAATCCCATGCATTAAATTGCCAACAACGGGTCGACACGAACATATACAATGGAGGGAAGGACGAGGATAGAAGAAAGACATGATGATCAAAATAACATAGAACATGAGCAAACTCGTGCAAATGTGACAAAATCAAAACAAATTCTGTTTTCTCGTGCACCGCACGATTTGCTCCACTTCATAGAATGAGTACAATCGTGGTGCCTCAATTCTTCAAGCGTCTGCGAATCGAATGTCGAACCCAAACCGGATTGTGCATTGAAATATCCGAATAAGACTGGGACGGAAACGTAAAAAGGACATGCGAGCCTCCAACTCAGCCGGCGGCAAAAAAACCTGAACCTTCAAATGCAAAATGGTTTCGAAAAATCGAAGGAAGCCTTGACCTGATCAAGACTTGTTATTTTCTGTCAGCTTAAAAAAACCTCTGAAGCGGAATCTGGTAGAAACTACCGCTTTTACGCTCGAAAGGGAATTAGAAAAATCCGGGTTCTCTGGATGAAGGCAATTCGAAAAAACCCGATTAAAACATCAAAAACTTCGACACATAATAATCATACTTTGACAAAGGCATCGTACAGAGTTCCAGAATGCAACTTCATTTTTTTTGGAAATGGCAAGAAAAATTGCAAGATCCAATCAAATATTCTTGAACCCCGAAAAAACGAAAACACACATTTGCAAACATATTGGTGTTTCAGGAACAACAATGATCAAATCTCATCCGACGTGCAAAATGATACCGTTAATGCCGATTTCAAAACCCACACTATCTCAATTTGTGATAAGGTCGGTTTGTCAACAGGCTGGAATTTCAGAAGATGAATTGCGGTCTCCGGTTCTACACTGCCAAACTTAAAATTTCAAAAACAACCCAAGATGGCCCCAAGACTCCAAGACGGCCCAAGAGGGCTCCAAGAGGCCATAAAAGAGCCCCAGGAGGCCAAAATCACTCGCACGATCGGCGCCGCCAAAACCGCGCGTTCAACGCGGGCGCCGCGCAAAGGCGCGCTCGCGGCGTGGGCGACATGGGCGGCGACATGGGCGACATGGGCGACGTGGGCGACATGGGCGCTGCGCGCGACATGGGCGACATGGGCGCCCACGTTGCACCGCAGGGATTCTGAAAGTGCCTTCGGGGCGGCTCAGGGGTGACCCAAAAATGACGCCCCCAAGAGGCCACCAAAAGGCTTCAAGAGGATCCCCGGGGCACCCAAGATGCCCCCCAGACGCTCCAAGAGGGCCCCCCGAGGCACCCAAGACGCCCCGTAGGACCGCCAAGAGGCCCGCCAAAACGTCCTAAGAGGCCACCAGGAAGCGCCCAAACGATATTCCAAGAGGCTCCGAGAGGCATCCAAGAGACCTCTGGCCCTTTTGCTCGCACTCCTCCTCCTGCTCCTCCTTCCTCCTACTTCTTCCCTTCCTCCTCCTCCTCCTCCTCCTCGTCGTCGTCGTCCTCCTCCTCAGGACCCCCCCTTTTTCCAATGGCCCCCCCTCTTTCCAATGGCACCTCCCCCTTTTTCCAATAGCGATTGATCTTGCGTGCTTGCTCTCACTTGCTTGCACTTGCTTGCTTGCACTTGATCGCTGGCTCTTGCTTGCTTGAAATTGCTCGCTTGCGCTTGCTCCTCCCGCTCTCCTCCCGTCCTGCTCCCTCTATCTGTTCTCCTCTTACGACGTTCGGCGAGGGCGAGTTTCTGGATGGTTTGGTAGAGATGCTCGGAGCGTCCAGAATCTCACCAACCCTCTGGTTGTATATGGTCTAACGAATTCTTTCTTTCTTCTTCCAGAGCCCTCGTACCTCCGGGGAGGGACTTATCGCTCTCCCTACCCCCTTCCCAAGGGTCTGGACAAAAGGGGCCGCGATGCGATAGAGGTTGCTCTTCCGCTCAAGATAACTCCAAGTGGGCCTTCGATTCTCTAAGAAATTGGCCTCCAAGATTGCTCAATATAGCCGAGGATAATCAAAGATCGCCTCCATCATGTCTCCAAAAGGCCACAACGAAAACCACAAGGTGGTTCCATCGGAACTCCCCACGGATTTCCACCAAGAAATGCAATCCTTCAAAGACATACGGGAAATCCATGATTTGTTCATTCTCCCTTTCCTGCTTCCGATGGGCCCAAGAAGGGCCCAAAAAACCTCCGAACCGGCCTTCAAACGACCCAACGAGCGTCCCAAGAACCGCTCATGATCGTTCTGGAGGGGGGACGGAAATCAGGGAGCCCCCTCTTCTGATCCACGCCCTGCAAGATGGCCCCAAGAAGCCACATCGAAAGAGCTCCATGAGGACCCGCGAACCTTTCAGAAGGGCGCCAAGAAGGACCAACAGGACCAAACGACAACCTCCAGAGGACCCCAAGAAGACTACAAGATGGCTCAAACAGTTCCCGTCCTTGGTGTCCTCCTCCTCCTACTCATCTTCGCTTTACTCGTTATCGTCCTCGTCGTCGTCTTCGTCGTCGTCCTCCTTCTCCTCGTCGCCCTCCTGTTCATACTACCCTTCCTCCTCCACCGTCCTCGTCCTCATCCTCTTTCTTGCCCTGGTCGTTGTCCTGCTCGTCCGCCTCCTCCTCAAGAAGACCCCGAGAATGCACCAAGATACCGCCGAACATGGGTCCTTCGGAACGGCTGCTCTTTTGCTTGGGTTCTCTCATCGCTTCTGCATGGGCTGGTATAATTTTTTTGTCGCAACCGCAGGCGAAGGCGCCGACGGCGTCACAGGTCGGCTCGGGCTACGAGGGGCTGGTAGAAATATTTTTTTTTCGGGCGCGGCCGCGAGACGACGGTCAGGCGGCAAGAGCAAAGTCCGGGACGCGAACTAGGCGAATTAGCTAAGACAGGCGCGAGCCAGCCGGCCCACTCAGGCAGCTGGGAAGCTGAGGGGGGTGGAGCTGAGCTGGTAGAAATAAGCGAGGCGTCAAGGATTTTATGGTTGTCGAGGGGTGCTCATGCCACGGGGGAGTGAGAAGGAGGAAGGGAAGAACGTGGACAAGCGGACCCGAGGCATGCCCCATGAAACCCCAAAGAGAGGCTCGACAGTCATCGTCAAGGGCGCGTCAGCGGTCGCTGAATGGGTGTGTGGGGAAACGCGAAGCGGAAGTGATTTTGCAATGCCTGGGGGCTCGACGCCCATGCGCGTTTGTTCCGAACCATTTTCATAACCCATCGTATTATGTGTCGTGATGACAACCGCCAGTCCATGTTGGAATCGTTCCCTGAATGATGCGCAACAGAACCACAAAGGACCGAGTACTGGTATCTCACGCGAACCAGACATGCTGGCGTATCCACGAAAAGTGAGTATTTCGACGTATGCTGTCCCTAGGGTGCATCTCCGACTTCAAACTGGGTACACTGTGCACAATGTCCAGTCTCAAGCGGGGAAAATTGTCAAGATTCTCTGGCCCAAGGCCGCAAGCTACTCAAAATTTCTCGTGACTTAGGCGAACTGCACTGTCTAGAATCTCGGAATACGGGGGCATGCGCTATCCAGATTCGCAAGGTCTATGGCATGGTGCACTCTGGCAAATCATCACCAAGACAAGAAGCAGGAAATAACAACAATTGAACATCATGATCATCGACTTCTGACAAAAATGTTCTCGCCCACTTCTCGAACACTCGACACAGTCGCCTGGCAAGCCCAGCTGGCCACCCGATTTTGAACCACACCGGCAGAGCACCCGCATGGCAAGAGGTAGGAAAAACCAACACTCGAACAGCATCCAGCACTTCGCATTGCTCGTATCGGCCAGAAAAATGCTCTGGCTTTAATTCGTTGACCACAAAACTCACTACGGTCAGAGGCGCCGGACGGGCCATGAACGCAAATACGCGTTTGTTCCGAATCACCCATACCTTATCGTAATGTATAACGTGATGACAACCGCCAGTCCATGTAGGACTCGTTCGCTGTACGATGCGCAACAAAGCCACGAACGACGTAGCACGTGGATCTCAGGCAAACCAAACATGCTCGACACATCCAGGAACAACGCGTATTTCGACGTATACCGCATTACCACCGGACGGATTCCTGTGCATGATTTACGGTCTTCGTTGCGGGCGGAACCTTGTTACCAACTCCTTATGGGTATGAACATAGGAAGCATCAAGTTGCGTTCAGCTGATGAGTACTAAGCGAAACACTAATCGTTGAGTAGAGGCCAAGAAGGTGGCAACTAATGATTGGCAATGCGCAACAAGTTCATATCATGGACGCATGTTAAAACAAGTGGGTAACCCATACTCGCGAAGACGCAGGCCAATATGGTTGCCGAGTGTCAGAGATGAATGGGAACGCATCCTGATGGGGGCCCGCCGTGAAATTGATATTGATGGAGATCTTGATCAGCATCTCAAGCATCGAGATGTGCTCCAAGATATGTGGTACCTTTCCCTCTCCCACCTCTGACGCCCCATTCTCGTTGGCGCACCACCACGGTCACATCTCGATTCACCCCCAAACTCCCGCGACATCCTTCACACCTGAGCTACTCATCTGTTCCGTACTCCTTTCACCCCGGTTCCCCTCTTCCAGCTCTTCTGCTGCCACCCTGCCTGGATGACTGGCAAGCGAATGACATGAAAGTGTGGTGACAGGAGGAGGAGGAGGAGGAGGCGGAGGAGGAGGAGGAGGATGAGGATGAGGAGGAGGAGGAGGAGGAGAAGGAAGAGGAGGAGTGGAGGGAGTGGGAAGGGTGGGAGGAGTAGGAGGAGTGGAGGAAGGGAGGAGGAGGAGGAGGAGGAGGAGGAGGACGAGGAGGAGGACGAGGAGGAGGAGGAGGAGGAGGAGGAGGAGGCGGAGGGAGGAGGAGGGGAGGCGGATGAGGATGAGGATGAGGAGGAGTAGGAGGAGTGGGGAGGAAGAGGAGGAGGAGGAGGAGGGAGGAGGAGGAGGAGGAGGAGGTGGGGGTGGAGGAGGAGGAGGAGGAGGAGGAGGAGGAGGAGGAGGAGGAGGGAGGAGGAAGGAGGAGGAGGAGGAGGGGAGGAGGAGGAGGAGGGGAGGAGGAGGAGGAGGAGGAGGAGGAGGAGGAGGAGGAGGAGGAGGAGGAGGAGGAGGAGGAGAAGGCAGAGCTGGGTGCAGCCGACCTCTCGTTGCGCGCCATTCTCAGCGGCTGGCGCTCCTCCCCCCAAGCTTTGCTTTCGTGTTCCCCTGACAGTGCTTGCGCTGGGCTCACTGGGTGCTGTACGGTCAACCCACATAGCAAGGACGCGCGGTAAGGATGCAAGGGCCTTGGAAAGCCATGCTGACGATTCTCGGGATGGGCCGAAGGGGCTGGCCAGCGAACGTTGCCAGGGATGGGCCGAAGGGGCAAGGGTGCTTGGAACGTTGCTCATCCTTGCCATGCGGGTTGACTGTACCCTGCCCCGAGCAGTCCAGTCTTTGGGTGGCGTTCAGGTGCGCCACGACCCCCGAGTAGCCCAAACGCTGACCCCGTGTTGGGATTTAGTGCATCGCTCATCCCAGACTACTTCCACTCGATTCCTCGTGCTTTCACGAGCGGCCCCATTCGCTTCCTCTTGGTCCATAGTGCTTCCGGGATCTGCCACTTCCTTCCACGCGCGGCCACACGCGTCCAAATGCTTGAGCTGCTCTCGCCAGCTGGTATCGGAGCCTTTCTCTTAGGACGCCAATGAAGGTTGAAACATTCAGAGCCTCTAACACATCTTATCAAGCCCCTTCGAACTCCTGACGTGGCTGCAATTCCGCTGCGGTCACGTCTACCTGGCGCCAGCGGCGCATGACACGCCCACGCGAATTCCAAGAATTTGGCTCTCGCCCTGGTCCCAAGCCGTCTCCCTTTTGGAAGGTTGGCCTCAATGTCTTAGCGTCGGCTAGCATCCACCTGCTGGCCGCAAGCGGCGCCACAAACTCCTTCACAATGTACCAACGGACTTTTCTCTCGCCGTACAATAATGCTGGCTACCCTTGGAGCTCAGAGTCGTGTTCATTCTTGGACACGCCTGCCCACTCCCAGCTCGGTGTGATGCTGCCCCATGGGCGCCAGCAACGTCTCCAGCTCGGAACCTTGATGGGACCCTGCTTGATCCCTACGAGGAGCCTGAAACGATCACAACCATGCAATGGCCCCAACACCCAAGACCGAAGCACGACCCTAAGAGAACCCTACCAGTGCCCCACCCAGCAGCGGCCCTGGCAGGACCATACCAGGGCTTAGACGACACCAGGATCTCATCAGAGCCTTGCCTAGGCGCTACAAGGATTTGCCAGGACCCCGCCAAGACCTTACGACTAATCCTCGAATACCTCGCATGGCTACTCGAGCATCCTGCTTCCGCCTTGGCGCGGGCCGCCTTCTTCGGCGCGCATGCTGTCGCCTTGGCACCAGCTATTCCGCATGCCACTCTGCGCAATTCCAAACGCTATCTTGTCTGACATTCTGTGCAGAGGGCCACGTCGTGGTATTATGTGCGGGAGGGCCCTTGTGGCAATGGACGTCATTCGCAACGGGGCCAAGAGTCTGGAACATTGTAAGAGGATTCCCGCAACCTTCGGGCTCCCGAACGCGACCGCTCCGAAGATCCTGAGCATCGAATCCGTGATGGGCCCCTCCTCCTCCTCCTCCTCCTCCTCCTCCTCCTCCTCCTGTTCTCCTGTTCTCCTGTTCTCCTGTTCTCCTGCTCTCCTCCTCCTCCTCCTCCTCCTCCTCCTCCTCCTCCTCCTCCTCCTCCTCCTCCTCCCCCTTCTCCTCCCCCTTCTCCTCCCCCCCTCCTGCTCCCTCCTCTTCCTCCGCCTCCACCCTCCTCGGCACTTCTCCTCCCCTCTTCTTCCCCTCTCCGCCTCCTCCGTGCCTCCTCCTTGCCTCGTCCTCCTCCTTGTCTCGTCGTCGTCGTCCTCCTCCTCCTCCTCCTCGTTCCTGGGCAAGCTGCGGGCGCGCCCGCGCGACGCGTCCCTGGGCCGATCGTGCTCGGCCCGCTCGCCCGCGACCAAGCGCAAAAATCCTCCTCCTCCCCCTTCTCCTCGTCCCCCTCCTCCTCCTCTTCCTCCAGTCCTTCTTCCTCCATTCCTCCATTCTCCATTCCTCCATTCCTCCATTCCTCCATTCCTCCTCCTCCTTCCTCTCTCTCCTCCTCTCCTCCTCCTCCCCCTCCCCCTCCTCCTCCTCCTCCTCCTCCTCCTCCTCCTCCTCCTCCTCCTCCTCCTAGTCCTAGTCCTCCTCCTCCTCCTCCTCCTCCTCCTCCTCCATTCCTTCTCCTTATGCATCGCTTCTGCCTGTCGCACCCCGAGGCCCGTCGAGAGGTCGGGCCGGGCGTTTCGCTGGAGGCCCCGAAGTCTCACACATTGAGGGCAAGGCCGTCGTCTTCAAAATGTGGCTCCCGCCTCGGCGCAACGCACATTCGTTTTAAACATTTGCAAGCATTTCACACATGGATGGCGGGTCGTTTTCAACATGTGGCTCTCGCCTTAGCGCCGTGCACATTCGTTTGCAAACGCTTGCGCGAGCTTCACGGATTGAGGGCGGTTCGTTTTCAAAATGTGGTTCTCGCCTTGGCGCCGCGCACATTCGTTTTAACATTTTGGCAATCGTTTCACGGCTTGAGGGCGGCTCGTTTTCAAAATGTGGCTCGCGCGCATTCCTTGTGCAACATTTCAAGAGATTCACGATTTCCAATAGTCAATGTACCAGAAGTTGTGTTCTGGAGAGATTCAGGTTTTGGATGGTGCATCGGTTACGATGATTCGCGGTGGTGGAGTCACAGTAACGGCGTTCTGGAACGATCTAAGACTGTCAAGGCGCAGTAATCAGGTTGATCCGTGGCGTTGGATTCCCGAGAATAATGTTTTGGCATTCTTCAATGTCTTCAGACGGCTGCCTTCCAACGAGGCAGTCCCCTCAGCGGAAACCGACCCTTGTAGGGGCCCATGAAGGAGGGAGCTTGGAGGGAGGGTCTATTCCAACATCGTTGATGACTCCTGGGTTCACACTGGTGCTCCTCCTCCTCCTCCTCCTCCTCTGCCTCCTCCTCCTCCCGCGCGAAGCGACGACGCCGAGGGCGCTGAGGCGGGATGGGGGCGCCTGGCAAATCTGCAGCAGCACGGGGGAGTCGCGCAGGTGAGGGCGGAGCACCTCCAGCGGCGCTGGAGCGTGCGGGCGGCGAGAGCACCGATGCGGCACGGGGGAGCGGGGGGAGGGGGGAGGAGGGGGGGGGGGGGGAGGGAGGGGAGGGGAGAGGGGGGGAGGGGGGAGGAGAGGGGGGAGGGAGGATGAGGACGAGGATGAGGGAGGAGGATGAGGCAAAGGAGGAAAAGGATGATGACGACGACGGCGATGACGGTGATGATGATGGTGATGCTGATGCTGACGATGGTGATGATGATGATGACGACGATGATGATGCTGATGATGATGGTGCTGATGACAATAAGGATAATGTTGGCGATGCGGATGATGCAGATGGCGAACATGATGGTGATGATGACGCGAATGAAGGCGATGCTGCTGGTGATGATGATGGCTGCATTATTGGTGTTTATGGCGATTACGGCGATGATAATGGTGATGATCACGATGACGATAGCGATGGCAACTCTGATTATGGCTATGCGTATGATGACTACGGTGACCATGATGGCGGTGCCGATGCTGTTGACGAGTACACCGATGATCGTCATGGTGACGATGACGAATATGATGATGCTGACGCTGTTGATGGTTACGATGGTGATGATGACGGTGATGATGAAGAAGAATAAGGCGATGATGCCGATGCAGATGATGATGATGATGATGATGATGATGATGATGATGATGATGATGATGATGATGATGGTGATGATGACTATGATGATGACAACGCTGCTGATGGTGATGGTGATGATGATGCTGATGGTAAGGAGCGGGGGGGGGGGAGGAGGAGGAGGAGGAGGACGAAGAGGAGGAGGAGAAGGAGGAGCAGGAAGAGGAAGATCGCACCGTGCCTCGGAACGCAATTGTGGCCTCGAACGCCCATGCCGCGGCCGCGCGGCGGGGAAGGCGCAGGCTTCGCTCAGACGCCTCGAGGTGCTCCACGAGCATGTTGACGTTGACTTCCTCGATCTCGCAAAGCCTGACGTGGTCGTCGGTCGCGAAGGCCACGACCGGGCACCGCAGAAGGTGCCAAGGATCGGCTTGCGCAGACAAAGCCGATCAAGACGCAGACGGCCGTTCTGGCCGGGTACTCGCCAAGGCGCCATCCGATCATTTCCCCACGGCCGCACAGTCGGCCAGGCCCACGAGGTCGGGAGCTGTGCAAGCTTGTTACGCTTGCCGTCCCAGTCGATCATCATCACCATCACCATCACCATCACCATCACCATCACCATCACCATCACCATCACCATCACCATCACCATCACCACCATCATCATCATAATCATAATCATACTAATCATACTAATCATCATCATCATCATCATCATCATCATCATCATCATCATCATCATCATCATCATCATCATCATCATCATCATCATCAACATCATCATCATCATCATCATCATCATCATCATCATCATCATCGTCATCGCCATCGTCATCGTCATCGCCATGATATCATCATCACGATCTGCTCATATTGGGGCCACTCCTTCAAGATGCTTGGTGCCGCCCATTTTGGCATCGTGGGAGGATAAGAGATCGCATCGTATAAGGCCTTATGTGCTACACGCTGCCATTTCATCTTGCCCGCTTGCCCCCCCTGGAAACTGAGACGTCGCATTGCAGGAGAAACGCTCGATCTGCAACCTCCGATTACATACATTATCTAGCCTGGCTCTCTTCAAGTCTGGGGTGCCAGGGTAGAAGGGGGGATCACGTAGAAGCTCAGCGTCCGCTGGCAGGGAGCCCAGATCACCTCGACGGGCACGAAGGATATGAGGCGCAAGGAACTTCGTGGCACCAACGGCTCTTGGCGCAAACGGCGTCTTGGGATTCATTGCTTGCATGGTGCCCTGCTACGCTGGGATGGGCCCCCGCCCGTGTTGCATCACTGCTCCACCACTAAGGTAGAGACGTACGGCACGTGCTGTATCTTGGGGCACGAGGCGCCACGCTCGATTTTCACGCCATGTGGACACTTGTGTGACTTGTCGAATACGCGCTAACGCTCGGGCATCTGTGCTCTTTCCTGCCGTGGGAGAATTGCAAGAGAACGAGGGGACAGATGCAATTTTTTGTTCTGTCGTCGGGCAACCTCATGCCCACTAGGCAATCCATGCTGCGAATACCATCTTCCTCAAATGTGACGCCGAGCGCGCGCGAAGGTTCGTTCATGTATCGATCACATTAGCCAACAATCGACACCAATCTGCACGCTTTTCGGGCATCGAACGCGCGTGATCACGACAAAAACTTGCAAATACTCATATGTTCCTAGCCATCAGCAGTCAACCGCAAGCCAGTATACTGCTACATGGTATGTGCAAAAGCAACAAAACCATCTGGAATCCAACGGCTGCTGGCGTTCACACGACTGCCGGTGAAAGTGGTTGCGCTGGGGAATTGAAACTGGTGGCGACCCAAATGCAGTCTAGGCTGGCTGGCATGAGCAGCTCCTCACACACTGATGCTCTGCAACCATAGATGTCACGCATCCCGTGGCCAACATTGCGCAAACAAATTTTGGATGCGTGCCGGACGGATGCAAACTGTGCGTCTTGACCCCTTGACATTTTGGCTGCCGAAACCATGCGGTCCACACCTGGTAAGGTGTGGGTGCCGCTGGACAAAAACAACCACAGACGCGTTGGCCTCGCGCTCGGAAACTATATTTGGAATTTGGGGCAATGCTTCCATGATGATGAAGTGCATTGCGCGCACTGCCCGACTATGTCGGTTAAAGATGTGGCGCGGTATCAGAAGCGCATGTCCCAGCAGCTCATTCCGTCCATGTGTCGCAGCAAGCAGCTGGCCACTGCACTCACTATCCCCAGAACTTATCTTACAATTTTGGGGGGTGTTTGCGCGCAAATACTGGCCGTTTGGAACGTGGCAAACCACGCGTCCACCACCGCGAGATTGTGTCGAATCGTCTTGAAATGGAGAAGCGCTTTTTGGGCGATGCTGGCAAAATACTCTGGCTGGCCAAACGCCTCGCGTGCGAGCTATTCTTGACAATACGGGAGTAACAACATGTGGGCAGCGCATTGCGGTCACGCATCAGTAGACTATCGTTTGTGCCACTTTATGGGAATGGATGCCCGTCTGGAGCCTGTGAGCCTATGATGCTGCGCAATTTTCTAAAGATTCCTTGGTGGCCCGTGGCGTCGAGCGAACCGCCATGCGACTCAACCGTATTTACCATAACTAGAACCACGCTCGCACTTCGCGCGCGCTTAGGTTCTAGCAAGCTCCAGCCCTTGACAATCTCACAGTTGCGTGCAAATGCGTATGCACACATGCAACGTCACGACTTACCCACAACTTATTCAAACATAGGGTGAATGAGTATTAAGAGCGTGGGCCGCTCAGAGACGATTTCAGACAAGGCGCGCTACGAAGATTCCAAGGGCGCCCCAAGGGGGGTTGGCGGAGAACTCCAAAGGGCAATCCAAGAGGATTCCAAACGCGCCTTGAGAAGGGCCCAAAGGGGGTCCCAAGGGAGGCTTGAAGAGGGCCCCAAGAAGCCACAGGACGTAGTGCAGGAGGGCCTCGAGAAGGCGTCTCAAGAGAGCACGAAGGTGGCCCCAAAGTGGCCTCCAGAGAGTCCAGGGAAGTGCCCCCACAAAAGCCGAGCAAATTCCGAAAAGAGCCCCGAGGCGAAGGCCCGACATCGCACAAGTTCACCCTGGCAAGAAAAGTTCACCCTGGCAGGAATTCGGGGGGCCGATTTCCAGGGAGAAGCAGCGATGTCGGCGCCACGGTGTCGTCGCAACCGTTCCTCCTGCAAGCCCTGCTGAGGGTTGGACAACAGACCGCTGGCCGTATTTGTCCTGCTCGAGGCGCAGTATCGTCTAAGCATCCCCCCCATCTCTCATACCGCACCCGCGTCCACCTGCCTGCAAAGGCTGCCATGCGGTGGGGCTCCTCAGGCCCGCGTGGGACTGGCAAGAGCAAGGGCAAGGGCAAATTCCAACAACAAACTAATCATCAAACCATGGGCACGCCTCGTCATCTTCCGGAGGAGGCAGCGCGCCCGCTTGCTTGTGGGGCGAGCTCAACAGCTTGCGCGAGAAGTACGGGCAGATGGAGGCACAGAAGCAAGCATCAGCAACACGTGAGTCTTTTCATGACAGCCATGACCGACAGGACGACGAATACCATAACGAACGTCTTGGACATGAAGAAGGACAACACCAAACGTGGAAGAAACGACCACACGTGATGAAGATGAGGCACCGGCCCCGCGACGCAACCCGCCGTTCCAGTTCCTGAGGCTCGCCTCGCAGGGCGCCGGCTGGTACGCACGAGCACCGAGGCATCTGCGCAATCGTCAATGTCCGAGCGCAGTTTCCTGAACGCACGCCAGAGCGCAACACCACGGGCGCAAGCTCCGCAGGGCCGGTGGGCGGCCTCGCCGCGCGCTTGTGCCGAGGCTCGCGACGACTACGACGACGTGGGCGTGGACGACGACGAGATGCACCCGTGTTGCAGCAGATGAGCGGTCGTGACGACGGAGTCGCGCGCCGTGGCAAGCGCGGCAGATCTGAGGGTGGCGACCGCGGCCAGAGGCACGCGCAGGGCTCAGCTGGGAGCTCTCGGGGCGGCGCGGGGTTGCCCCAGGGCGCCTTGGCCTAGGTGCTCGCCCAGCTCGCGCGTTTGCGCAGCCGCCCGCGGCAACTGCAACAGGCGCGCCGCCAGCACCCACGGGTGAGGAGCTGCTGAACATTGTGTGCTTCCCGAGGCTGACGCGAGGGCGTGGTATAGTAAAGGGGCCCAGGGACATAAAGTAAATACACACGATTATAGTTTCCCACATTTTCTGGTGAATCGACGATTCATTGTGTCTGTATTTTTTTTCCCTCCTGGGATAAGACCGTGGACGGGTGGCTCCAGGGGATGATTGAACCGCCGGCCACCCCCAGCAGCTCTCGAACGGCATCCTGAAGGCAAGCGACCTCGGCACGACGTGGGGGTACGAGCCACATCAAGAATATGACCCAGCTGTGCGACCATATCCGCAGCGAGTGAGGTGAATATTCGGTGTTGCCGCTTCCTGCCGAGGAGGAGGAGGAGGAGGAGGAGGAGGAGGAGGCGGGAGGCGGGAGGAGGGAGGAGGGAGCAAGCTTTGGGTATCCAGCCTCCCCCGAGCACGGCCCTCACGCTCAGGATAGACCATCTCGTGCTTGTCTGTGCTGCTGCTGCGAAGGTTGCAGTGGTTGAAGGGGCCCAGGGACAGACAAATTCGCCGGCCCAACGGGCCAGAGGCACGCTAAGATCTCCGGTAACTGGTTCACAGTATTTCTAGTTCGCGCAAGATAACTGGTTCACGCCTCACGAGGGTCGTGGCCTCCGAGGGTGGAACCGGAAAATTAATACACACGAATCACAGGATTCCGCTATACATTATTCAACATTTTATGGAGTTTCGTCTTCCCCCCCCCACTTCGCATGTTTCCCATACTTTCCTGGGAGTCGCCGGTCAATTGTGTCTGCATGGTTTTTCCCCTCCTGAGTGGTGGGATCAGCAGCAGCAGCAGCAGTGGATTTTTTCCCTCAACGGCTCCATGACGATCGTCGTCGAAGCAGAAATTGTCCCGAGGAATTCGGTTTTGAGCTCCTTTGTAAAAGTGCTCCAGGGTTATGTCATAACATTTCTGTCCGTTGTTATCTTAGGATCGCGAATACTTCGAGGGATGCTGTATATCGCACTCCAGGGTCAAAAGGGTTGTACCAAGCAGCAACAGCAGCAGCAGCAGCAGCAGCAGCAGCAGCAGCAGCAGTGGCGGCTGCACGCCAGCAACTAGACGAGGAGGAGGAGGAGGGGGATGAGGAGGAAAAGGAGGAGGAGCAGGAGGAGAAAAATAAGGATGATGAGCAGGAGGTGATAGATTAGAAAAACATGAGGCGTGGGCACACGGAGAGAATATGGAACTCCAATGCCGCTGGAATGCTAGGGAGAGTAGCGAGGCGAAGTGCCCAACCGTGTGAGGCTGAGTGCAACGCAACAAATAACCCTCTCCTCATGCCCTGCGCGCCGCGAGCGGGATCCGCGTGAAAGATGCGACGCGATGGGCGGAAGGACCGCTTGCGAACGCGCCCACTCAAGCCGTAGGAGCTCGGGTCCTCTCCCATTGGGACCGCAGGTGGAGGTCCCCCACGGGGCACGTCCTGCGTGAGGGGTGCGCCGAGCTGGGTGTGGCCCCGCACGCGGGCGCTGCCGCTGGGACCGTGGATGGGGAGCTCCCTGTGGGACACGCCCCGCGCGAGAGGCGTGCCACCATAGGCGCGGGGAGCACGGTCCGTGCGTGAGGAGTGTGCCGACCGCGCCCGCCGGGGCTGTGAGGTAAAGCTCCCTGTCGGGGGTGATCCGTTTGAAGGGTGTGGCGAGCTGGGCGGGGCGACGGCAGCAGCAGCGGCGGCAGGGAGGGGAGGAGGGAGGGTGAGGCGGGAAGGAGAGGCAGTGACGCAGCGGAGAGAGATCGAGGACCCAAGGAGGGTCGGGAATACCCGCCCGTGCGCGATGCCGTCCCCCCCTCCCTGCCCACGACGCTCTCGCCCGTCTCGCCTGCTCCTCTACATCCCATGCGCCCTTCCGAATCCTCGCTCGTCTCCGCGTCCCCCGAATCTTCTCGTGGGCTCCTTCCTTTCTTTCGGTCGCCTCTAGCCACACTGTGACCGGCCTCTAAACAAGAATTGAAAATTCAAAACTGCGCTGAACTCTGCCGTGCTTTGCCGTGCGGCTCTGATGGATGAGCCGGGATATCGAGCAAACAACGTCCTCTAAGGCCATGGTTTCCGCAGTGAAAGATGAGACAGGCGGATGCATGTACGTGCCGCTCATAGCGATAGGGAAACGGTAGCGCCTGCGGTCGCGCAAAACCACCGCCTCGGCGAACCAGGCTCCAGCTAAGCAGGAGCCGGCGCGCGTCCCCCCGTCAGAATGAATGATCAAATTGGCCCCGAGCGTGCTGAAATCATCCAAGACTGGCGAAACGTCTTTCCGCCAGCCGGTGCCTACATCCATGGTGGGATTGACGCGAAAATCAACGATGCGACTGTTTTCGCGCCGCTGCCATAAAACGGGATCCGCCGTCTGAGACGCCGGAGACTATCCAGCATCGATCAGCTTGAACATATGATCAGTGATCCTTGCAAACACCGGTGTGAGCCCAGGCGTGTTCAACGGCACGTGCCCACGTGTCACTTCAGCTAAAGGTTTACAATCAAATACGGAAACGAAACAATTGCAATCACGGTGAAATTCCATGCCAGGCGGTTCGTCTCCATGTTGATTCGGGCAGCCGTCTAAGCTGTGATGGAGAATCTTCGTGCGCTTGTTGAGGCCAACCGGGATGTCAGCGTGCCCGTCCTGTGCCCGCCGGCCACGATTAGGAAGCTCCGATTGCGTGCAAATTCGATCTCTAAATTCATCAAAATGCTTCTGCCAAGACTCGTATGAATTGCAACTGTCGCGTCTCAGGCGCCACTTCGGGAAGAGGAAGAAACGGCATCAGCTGGGACAGCGCGCTCTATACACTAATCCCACCAACCCTTGCCCATCTCGCTCCTGTGCCCCCTCACAGGATGCCTCTTATGTCCAGGTAGACCCTGGGCCCCACGTCGGCGCACCTCCCCTCTCGGCCGAGCCAAGAGCCCGGCCCGAGGCGGGCCTGGCTGGGACCGGTGCAGGCGCGTGCACTCATCGCGCTGCCATCAGGAGCGCCAGGAACGCCAATGAACGTACGAGGGGGCTTTCCTGATCACGGCGAGCCTGGGCCAAGAAGAGGCTCCCCAGCCTAGATCAGAGGAGCGGCCCGACAGCCACGGCCCCTGCCGAGCGTCTCGGCGGCAGCTTGCGTCCTCCTCCTCCTCCTCCTCCTCCTCCTCCTCCTCCTCCTCCTCCTCCCCCTCGCCGCCTTGACGTTGAAGGTGACGACCGCGAACGTCTGCAAAACGGACTTCAAATTCTGCCACTCTATCAGCGCCGGCCCGCAGTCCGGCCGGCTGTACAGCGCTGGCAGGATGTTCTGGACCTCGGCGGTCCCGCGCCGTCTCTGCTCGCTGCCCCGCGGGGCGCACGGAGGCACGGGCAGCTTGGCTGAGACGCGCATGCCATGTGACGGCGAGGAGGAAGAGGAAGGAGGAGGAGGAGGAGGAGAAACGGGAGAGGATGAAGATGAGGATGAAGAGGATGAAGAGGATGATGATGATGATGATGATGATGATGATGATGATGGTGATGATGATGATTACGATGATGATGATGGTAAATATGAGGAGGAGAAGGAGGATGAGGAATAAGAGAGGATGCTGATGATGCACATGATGATGATGAGGATGATGATAAGGAGGATGAGGATACGGAGGAGGAGGGACGAGCAGATGATGAGGATGAGGGTAAGGATGATGAAGAGGGCGATGACGATGATGATGATGCAGATGATGTTGCTGTTGCTGCAACTGATGATGGTGATGGTGATGGTGATGGTGATGATGATGATGATATTGATGATGATGATGATGATGATGATGATGATGATGATGATGAGGCTGATGATGATGCCGCTGCTGCTGATGCTGCTGCCGATATTGTTGTTGTGCTTGTTGTTGTAGTTGTTGTTGTTGCTGCTGTTGTTGTTGATTTTGGTGATGATTGTGATGCTGCTGATTTTGTTGTTGACGATGACGATGATGACGGTGATGATGCTGCTGATGCTGATACTGATGATGCCGATGATGATGTTGATGATGATGCCGGTGCCGTTGTTGTTGTTGTAGTCGATGGTGATGATGGTAATGCTGCTGATAATGCTGATACAGACGGGTCGGTATAGCAGGGGCTGGGAGATAGCGGAGCGGGGCTGGCTGTTCGGAGCAAGGAGAGGGCGGGGGGGCGAGGTGCCGTGTCGTGAGTGCGGAGCAAAATCGACAGAACTCTAGACACACTGTGCAAGATAATTCGCCGGCCCAAGGCGTGCCAGAATCTCTGGCACGAGGTCCAGATAATCTGTTTATCGCAAATGCGCGCGCGCGGGGCGGCCTCAGACGGTCCCCAGAGGAACAATCTTTACCCCAGACAGGTCGGATCAGATATGCTGGAGCTCCCGGGCGCGGGCTTCCAGACCCCCACGACAGCCCCAGAAGCACCTCAAGGGATCTCCCAGGACCCCGAGACGGGCCGAGAGCGCTCCAAGACGGACAAAAAAGGCCCCAAGATGCGAGCACCATTTATTCCCCATAGGTCTTCAGCATACTTTAGCCTTCTCACTTATCGGGGCTCCACGGCCAGAGAGGCCCCCGAAATCCCCTCAACCGCGGCCCCATAGGCCCCCGAAGTAATCCCAACACGCCCCCAAAAAGGCCCCAAGACGGCTCCAAAAACTCTCGGAACGGCCCCCAAAATGGCCTCCGAGACCGCCAGCAAGCGCCCAGAGACCTGAATCCACAGGATCCCCCCCAGCAGGCACTCGATAAGCCGCCAAGAGGCCCCCGAGAAATATCCAACGGGCTTCTGACGCACGACGCCAGCACGGTGGCAATATGTACCGACGGAGCTTCCGTGGGGGCATGCTCCGTGGATTCGCTCACCAGACAGAGCTTCGACGGGAAGTTTCGATGGGACAGGGCTTCGGCAGGATGCGCCAGCCTGCCAGTGGTTCTCCCGCAGTCGATGTTCACACGACAATTCAGACGAACGACCGCCAGCCACAATTTTTTCAGCCCCCACGACCACACCTGTACCTGCCAACAATAATACAAGATGGACTGAAGAAGTGGGCGAAGCGAACCGAATTCTAGGACACATTTTTTCCCAACCGTCCTGTGGTGTTGGGCCCTCGTTTCGAAAAGACAGCGCCATGAGTCACTTCTCCTCCTCCCGCTGCCCACTCCCGAAGGCCCAGTTGGCTGCATTCGCATGCGGCCACCGCGTCCATGTCGGTACACCCCTCACACGTTTCGTGGCCCCATAGGGAGCTCCACCGAAGGCCCCAATGACAGCGTTCGCTTTCGCGGCGCATGCGGTTCCATCCCCCATTTCGGCACACCCCTCACACGTGGCCCCATTGGGAGCTCCACCAAAGACCCCACTGGCTGCGTTCGCTTTTGCGGCGCATGCGGTTCCACCCCTCATTTCGGCACACCCCTTGCACGCTTCGTGGCCCAATAGGGAGCTCCGCCGAAGGCCCCGCTGGCTGCGTTCGTTTTTGCGGCGCACGCGGTTCCACCCCCTGTTTCGGCACACCCTTCACACGTTTCGTGGCCCTATAGGGGCTCCACCGAAAGTCCCAGTGGCTGGGTTCGCTTTTGCGGCCCATGCGGTTCCAACCTCATGTCGGCGCACCCCTCGCACGTATCGTGTCCTCACAAGGAGCCCCACCGAAGGCCCCAGTGGCTGCGTTCGCATGCGGTTCGGCCTCCCTTTCGGCGCACCCCTCACACGTTTCGTGGCCTCATAAGTTCCACCGAAGGCCCCGCTGGCTGCGCTCGCTTTTGCGGTTCCGCCCTCCAATTTCGAGTTTCGGCGCACCCCTCGCGCGTTTCGTGGCCCCGCAGGGAGCTCTGCCGAAGGCCCCTGTGGCTGCGTTCGCACGCGGTTCCACGCCCCATTTCGGCGAGCCCCTCGCGCGTTTCGTGGTCTGAAGCGGCGCCGCCGAAGGCCGCAACGGCAGGTTCCGCGTGTCGGCGCCGCCTGATTTCTGCGCGCCGCTCCCGCACGTTTCGCGGCCCCATCGGGAGCTCCACCGAAGGCGCCGGCGGCAGGGTTCGCGCGGCGGCCTCGGGCCGATTTCGGCACACCCCTCAGAACGAGGATCGTGGCCTCAGAGGGAGTTCCACCGAAGGCCCCAATGGCAGGGTTCGCATGGCGGCCTCGGGCCATTTCGGCACACCTGTCACACGTTTCGTGGCCCCATAGGAGCTCCACCGAAGGCGCCAGGTGGCGGCCTCCCTCATGGCTCTCAGAGCTCTCTCCTGCTTCTGCTCCTCGGTCAGGGGGACGCCGTCGTCGTCGGCGCCCGCGAAGACGGCCACAAACGTGTCCCTGAGCATGTCGGGCCCCGGCGGGAAGCCGTGGCTACATAGGGAGCGCGGGCGAAGATGGGATTCACAACTGCGTATGG